CATTACATGGATATATAAATTATGCAAAAATAGAAAAGAGTGAACTTTGAGGTCATGCTGTGCGACTTTGAAAGCCGTTAGAGAGATGAGTGGACGCATTTGAATTAGTAGTATACCAAGGTATCCAGTGATGTAATTTTACCCACAAACGGACTTGAAGTTTTTAAGCTAATTTTTTTTAAACCACTTTTGTCCAAAAAAGCATATTTTTGACCCAAAATCAAAAACGCATTCTGGATATTTAAAATAAAAACAAGTTTTACAAAGTTTGTATAATAAGCTTTCAGAAAATATATGACATGTTGGATATATAATACCATCTTCATTGTCTAATTACTCAATTAAAAAGCAAGCCAAATAAACTGCATCTCTACCTTAAGAAGGTTTTCATTTCATTATTGAATGTTATCTAGAATTGACATTATGTAAATTTCACTGTGATGCAGAGGTCACAGAGAGCGGGAATAATCAGTGTTTGTAAAACTCACATGGTCTTTATACGGCTGTTTTTGAGGTGGTTCCCACTCATCTGGAATTGAAGCATACCTGAAAAACAAGAATAACATTTAGTGGTCCTCAGTTTGCATCATGAACAGCATGTTATTATACAGACCCAGTATTAAAAATAGCAGGAGAGGTAAAAGTAGATTTTCTGAACAAAATAAACGAGTGATTGGGGAAATATGCTATTTAAATTCTTTTCAAAATAGTCTGAATTGCACAAGTCATAAATAACTCTCAGTTTAACTAGCAAACATTTCCGAGCATGCCCTAATTACTTTCATGTGTTCGAGGATAGCTAGAATGAGCTGATTGTTAGATCAGTTAAACAATTTATATTCACTGGCATTTAAATCACAATTAGGATAATTTTACCATATTCACAGGGTTTTAAGTTCACGAATTGGCCAGGAAAACAATGAGTTCTATTGTTATTTTATACATTTACATGGATTTAATGTAGTATATTTTACTTATCAGGCAAATAGTGAAATTAATACCCAGTGAATGTACAGTACCACTAATCACAATAATTCCATGCTCACTTACTTTTCAAAATCAGTAAACAGGTTCACAACAAATGTGTGTTGTTTATCTAATTTATAGCCACTCAAATTCTTCACTGCATCAGACGCATTGGCTGGTGAGGTATACTCCAAAAATATATATCTGTAGAACACAGAAACAAAAACACTGGTTACAAATTGAACATGAAGAGGATCATCTCTTGAAACTCTTAAAATGCTACAATGAAAGCAAATAGACCTACCCTTTGGTTTTACCATCTTGTTTTGGATAGTGCTCTGTGATTATTTTGCCGTATTTAGAAAATATTTTTCTGATGACATTCTGAAGTTTTTCTAATCTCTCTGTTCCAACCTGTGGTATATTGTCAACAACAATGACAGAGTCAATCCCATCGGCTTCTTTTGGTCTCTTACTCAGAAGATCACTCATCAATTCTGTATACAGAAATATAGACAGTGTTTATAATACTACAGACATTTGAAAGACAAAAAATATCTTCAGTCACTCTGACTCAAACCAGTCAGTGAAACAAAACAATCCACCATATCTATAGCTACCAATGAGTTCTTAAGATGTTCTGTGACACTAACAATCACTCAAATAAAGTTGGAATGATAAGCATAGAACTTGTGTGAAGTGTTCTCGTTACCCATTTGTTTGTTGATATGGGTGGATCCATGGCGAATAATGGTCAAGGTATTACCCTGATCGTCATAAAAGGACCCTGAAGATGTGAAACCATGGCTACTTTTCAGATTGATTAAGCCTTAATCAATCTGAAAAGTAGCC